TTAGTTACCGCATCACTACTTGGCTTCAGAATCTGAAACCATCGGCAAATTCGATTTTATTCCCAATTTTAGGAATATGAGATGCAAGGAAAAAGAGGTTATTTTGATCGGACTAGTCTTCGAGGTAAGAATCGGGAAGCGTTCTGATGGGAAATTCCAAAAGTAATCACAAATTAATCTAAGCGGTAGTACAAAAAGACAATATGAGGCGCCGATTCCATCCTCTTTCGTGTAAGTCGTATAGTCAACCAAGATTTACGCTAACGAAAGTATTAAGATGCTTCTCTGACCCATATAGAGACTACAGGCAAAAGTTCTGGAATGACCCCTAAGTGATGAGTCTATAAAAATAATACTTACAAACGTGTTATAGAGGCAGCGATGGCCGAGTGGTTAAGAGTGTAGACTCATAATCTCACTCTGAGCCACGAGTTCGATCCCTGCCGAGGCACAAACCATGTCCTTGCAAACGATACCAGCGTCAGGCCCAGGTTGACAGGCCGGCTGATGGAGGAACCCGTCACAACAATCATGACAAGTCGCAAAAGTATCAGTGTAAAAGCTAGGACGTCACCCGGAAGTGGCGCGCAGAACCCTCGCCCGAGTTCTGTGGTCAGTATGCGAGGGCTACCGAGGGGTGAACGACCTCGGCCAAAGAAGCTAGTTCGAATTGGGACCCTGAACGTGGGGTCGCTTACCGGGAAGTCTCGTGAGGTTGCCGACGGAGGAATATCCAAGTCCTATGCCTTCAGGAAACGCGATGGAAGGGTGCGAAGGCCCGCGAGATTGGAGAAGGTGTCAAACTCTTCTACAATGGAGCAGACACCAAACGGAATGGCGTGGCCATAGCGGTGGCAGAATCCCTCAAGGACTGCGTCTCCACTGTGAACAGGATCAGTGATCCGGATCATGGGAGTGAGAATGGACACGAAGGAGGGGTACTGGACAGTACTGACCGTGTACGCACCACAATCCGGTTGCTCTAAGGCGAAAGAAGGAGTTCTACGTGACCCTGGACGAGGTCATAAAATCGAAGAGGACTACATCACCATAGCTGGGGATCTGAATGGCCATGTGGGAAGTGACAGAAGGGGTCTAGAAAGGGTGCACGGAGGTCAAGGAATAGGGGCAAAGAACGCTGAGGGAGAACGGATCCTTGACCTAGCCACAGCCCACGACTTAGCAATCTGTAGCACCTTCTTCGCGAAAAGGAGGACTCAGAAGATAACCTACAGCAGTGGAGGGAGACAAACGGAAATAGACCATGTCCTGGTCAGAAGATCGTCTCTCAAAACCGTCAAGGATATCAAGGTGCTACCTGGGGAAGAGCTGGGCCCTCAGCACAGGCCTCTCCTGGCAGACATCGCCATAGACCTCCCCAAGAAGACAAGGGTGAGAGCAGAGCGAAGAATTCGGTGGTGGAAAATGCGCAAGGTAGAAAAGGATAGCCTCGGCCGAAGAATACTGGAGGCTGGGCTCCCAGACCCACATGGGCCAGTCCAGGACACCTGGACCTACGCAGCAGAGGTCATCCTACAGTGTGCAAAGGAAGTCCTGGGAGAGACGCGAGGTGGTATCAGAGGAGACAAGGCAGCCTGGTTCTGGAACGAGGAAGTCCAGCGGATCGTCAAGCAGAAGAGGGAATAAATATATAAACGGGAATATAGATATATAAAGGCTGGCAAAAGACAAGGAGCTCAGCAGACGGCTGCCTACAAGAGCTGCAAGCGACTCGCCAAGGCAGCCGTTGCTAAGGCCAAGAATACGGAAATGGACGCCCTGTACGACAAGCTGGAAGGCCGAGAAGGGGACAAGTTCGTCTTCCGCCTGGCTAAAGCTCGGCATCGCGCTGCTCAGGACATCAGGGTCGTAAAGACTGTGAAGAGCAGCAACGGGGCCATTCTCAGGAAACCAGCCGACGTCAGAAAGGGGTGGAAATATTAGGTCGTTGCAAAAGAAATGCAGGATTTTGCTTGCTTGTATTTCATACTTATTTTATTCCAATAATATGTTACTTTAATATGAAGTGTTATATACTATTCGGAAGCTCATCTCATGCTCTTTCTAAATGATACTCCAAGATTGGTTGTAATTCATTTTATTATAATTTTTATTGACATTTTATTGCAGATGTCGAAACGTGAATTTCGCACTATTTTCTTCTATGAGTTCAAGCTAGGACGAAACGCTGCCGATACAGCTCGGAACATCAACGAAGTTTGGGGTCAAGGAAGTATCAACGAATCTACGGTCCAACGTTGGTTCCAGAAGTTTCGCTGTGGCAACACCAGCCTTGAAGATGAACCTCATGTTTGGTGGTCTGCCGCCGGTCTCATCCATCACAGCTTCCTGAATCCTGGTGAAACAATTACGGCAGAGAAGTACTGTCAACAAATCGACGAAATGCATCAGAAGCCTTAACGCATGTGCCCAAGGTTGGTCAATATGAAGGGACTCCACGATTCCGGACTCTTCTCCACGACAATGCCCGACCACACTTTGCACAATTTACCCTCCAGAAAATAAACGGATTGGGCTATGAAACTCTGCCTCATCCACCATACTCACCAGACCTGTCGCCCACCGATCACCACTTTTTCAAGCATCTGGACAACTATCTTAGAGAGAAAGGCTTCAAAAACCAAGCCACCGAGTCAAAAACGCCTTCAACGATTTTGTGGCCTCTGAAAAGAATTACAACCAATCTTGAAGTATCATTTAGAAAGAGCATTAGATAAGCTTTCGAATGATATATAACACTTACATTTTATAGGAATAAAATAAGTATTTAATACAAAAAAACGAAATCCTGCATTTCTTTTGCAACGACCTAATACTTCGGGAGACGTCACAACGAAGAATTCCCTTGCAAGAATAGCCCACAGATGGAGCCGATGGCAGGTCCCATCACCCCCACCCCCCCGGACGGAGGATGAAGTCCGCCGGGAGCTAGGGAGAATGAAAGTTGGGAAAGCAGTGGGTCCAGACGGGGTCCCAAGGCATGGAAGGCCCTGGGAGAGCATGGGGTGAGTTGGCTCACAGACTTCCTAAACAACGTAACGGCTGAAGGAAGGATGCCAGATGCGTGGAGGAGCAGCACAATCGTCCCCATCTTCAAACAGAAAGGGGACGCGACGGAGTGCTCCAACTACCGCGGCATCAAGTTGACTCCCCATAAAGCTGTACGAGCGCCTGGTCAACACTAGGCTGAGGGAACTTGTCCCTATCTCGCAGGAACAGTTCGGCTTCATGCCCGAAAGGTCCACCACTGATGCCATCTTCATCGCCAGACAGCTGATGGAGAAGTACCGAGAGAAGCGGCGACCCTGCTACCTAGCCTTCCTGGACCTTGAGAAGGCATTCGACCGCCTGCCTCGGCCTGTACTCTGGAGAGCGCTCAGAGAACGTAACGTTCCGGAGCACCTGGTCTATAGTGAAGGACATGTACGATGGGGCTAAAGCAGCTGTACGCACCCCGCACGGCTTGACGAAGGAGGTAAACATCACGGTTGGGGTACACCAAGGATCAGCCCTCAGCCCGTTCCTCTTCCTCCTGACTCTAGATGTCATGGCAAAAGAACTCATGGAGGGACCACTGAAAACCATCCTCTACGCTGACGACATCGCCCTGATAGCGGACAGCAGGGAGGAACTCCAGGACAAGGTGCAGCGGTGGCAGGATGTGCTCGCTGAGAATGGACTCCGGCTGAACGTAAAGAAGACCAAGTTCCTGAGCTCCGAAGAGTGTACCGAACCCATCGTAGACCGCCATGGCGAGAGCATCGAAAGGGTCGAGGACTTCCAGTACCTGGGGAGCGACCTAGCAGCTGATGGCAGCGTGGACCAGGCGGTGAAGGCCCGAATCAACGCAGCCTGGATGAAATGGAGGGAGTCCACTGGCATCCTGTGCGACCGGCGGTGCTCGAGAACGCTCAAGGGCAAGGTGTACCGGGCGGTGGTAAGGCCTACAATGCTCTACGGCAGTGAGTGCTGGCCCATCTGCAAGAACCATGAAAGGCAGCTCCACTCAGCTGAAATGAGGATGCTGAGATGGGCCTGCGGCTGGACACGACTCGACAGAGTCAGAAACGAGGACGTCAGGGCGGTCACACAGACGGCTCCGATCCAGCTGAAGGCACGAGAGCAGCGACTGCGATGGTATGGGCACGTACTGAGGAGGCCTGAAGACCACCCAATAAGGAAGGCATTGGAATTCGAAGTAGAGGGCAAGCGACCACGAGGAGCCCCAAAGAAAAGATGGAGGGACGTCATCAAGAAGGACCTCACTGAAGTGAAAGCCACGGCAGAAGATGCAGTGGATCGGAACAAGTGGCGACGTCTAACAAGAACAGCGGACCCTGCGACGGCGCTGGGACTAACCCTAGGGAGAAGAAGAAGAAGACTCACAAACTTGTTATGTTATACTCATTAGACATATCAAATTCGAAAACGTCAAGAGGGATTCGAAAAAGCATCTCGATGGCTTTAAGGGAGTATCAGAAGTATCAGATCAGAGACAACCTCCAAGCAGAAGGAAGCCACAAGGAGGTGCATAATCAGAAAAGCTTTTCGGTGACCGGCTCGTTTTGCCGTACAGGTGTCTGACCATGAGCGATAATTTACGACTGCTGTGACTCCACGAGGATGATGGGAAGTGTAATTCGATCCCAGCCCAACGATAAGGCAGCCTTCAGACTTGTCGCGATGCAACTGTCGCGCTGCAATTGTCGCGCTTCAATTGTACCAGACCCCAGCTTCCCTTTATGTTCTTTCTTCCGGTATTCAATTCCTTTTTCACTGTTTCTCATTTCTACCTGAATCTTAGTTCCTCTTTTTCACTTTAACATTGCCAACGGCTAACTGTAGAACAAAGGCTTGTTTTCGCAGGTTTTTTAGTGTTTCGCCATTTTTCTACGATGTAGCAGCCGTGCTACCACTTCAGACCGAACACCAAATTATGCCTTTGAATGGCTTGGCAAAGATGGTAGTGTAGATTGCGATCATTGTACCGTGTGAACGTTGAAGATGCCGCTTGCCACTGCTCCACTTATTTTGAGGAATGCTTCTACGAAACAATCACTCACCTGGAAGGAGCACAACAGATTCTCATCAACATTCATAACAGCGCCGGCGTTATCGAATTCACCGCAATAGTTTGGAGCCGAGAAAACTGTGACCAGACCTCGCCGACCAAAAAACTCGTAACCATCTTCCACCACCTGAACAAAATTATTTCAGAGCTTTCTGGAAACACAAGTCACTTTCAAGTCAGTAGACTCATTAAAACCAAGTGGAAAGCCTATGTTCAATAAGATACTGCTCTTCCTCGCGCTCTTTTTCCGCAGCGTTACATTACATGTGCCAGCACAACTTCTCTTAGAGGCTGAGCAGGAATGGGATAAGTGGGCGGTTGTTGCCGGAGTCTCTGGTGGAAGAGCTGCGAGGGAAGATAGAAAGCACCTCACTCGTCCCATCTACTGATGATTTTGGCAACAACCGCCATAGCGATCGTGTCCGCTGCTTTTGACCCTTTTCAAATAAGTGGTTATCGTACTCATCGAAAGCTCGCTCGCCTCACAAAACCATAAAGCATGAATCAACTGTCACGACAGGGCGCAGCATTAGTTGGGGGTTTTGGTCGAGCTCGTACGACCCGCCCCTTTTTGGAGGGTTCGATACGCCCCCCCCCCTTCTAAAAAAACAAACAGTGAAAAAAAGGGAGTTTTTCACTGTTTGTTTTTTGAGCTCGAGCTAGGCATACCTATATGATGGCTCCAGGTTGTATAAGGCATAAAATGATACGATGATAATGATAAGATACTCAAAGTCTGGAGGAATACCTGTCAACTTTTGTGAAGCAATGAATACGAGGATGTGAAATAGCGAATGTGCTGATCCTCCCCCTCCCCCCCCCCCCCCACCCTACAAAGCCTAAGGTCGCATTCATGCTTGACAACTTGGAAGAAAAGACGAAACTGCGGACAGTACAACGTATATGTATCGATTTAAGAAAGAAGCGGAATTGGGAGAAATACAGAAATTCCGAAAACGTCTTGATACGGATTAATCGCTTGGCCCACCAGTGGGAGAGAATCTCTTCATTAGAAAACAAAAAAAGCAAAAAAAAAAAACAAAAAGGAACAACGGGAAACAGCTGGAAAACGGCCGAGTAAAACGAAAAACGGAAAACGGCCGATTGGAAGGGATTCTGGGCAATAACAACGCCGCAAGGTGGTTGCAAGGTGGTTAGAATGTGGGGGCGCGCTTTTCCAGGAAACAACTTGTCTTTCAAGGGCCATAACTTCACATACTAACAAAGGCGGACCTGAAGGACAGAGGAGAACGCAGTCGTGTAGAAAAGGTTCGAGCTTCCCGAAAAGTACTGAAATGTTTATGAAGGTCGCCAAATTCAGAGAGAAATTCAGGTTGGGGATCTATTGAGGATGCATGCAAACTGTCCTGGTTTGAACGAAGATATTTTCCTTAAAACTCAACAGTTTGCAAATCTGAAACCAGTGTCGAATACTAGAAGATTTCCTCTTTCCAAAAACCACTTAAGCTGTTTGTGAAGTTTCCGGGATTCATGAGATAATTGCGTTGGGGATTTATTAGGGAGCACTCCGAGCTGCTCGAAAAAATCCGTTTTCTGTGTACCGTTTCAAGCGAGCGTACTCGGATATCCAGAAATGCATCTGGAATGCATCCCTTCGTGGAATAGGAGCAAGCAGTAGGTGTTAGCGCCCATTAGCTTCATTTGTGGATGCGCCATGCCTAGGCTCCCAGGCAGAGGTAATGGGATGGTGCAGTTTGCAAGAAAAATATGTCTTTTCCGCATGAGTGTAAAAGAGAGCGAAGAAAATTCATTCGAAAAAAAGACAATCTCATGCACGTTCTCTGAACTATAGTGCGGCGTTCAGCAGTATTCTTTCAATAATTCAACATCTTGAAGTAAGGAAAGCTTGAGTCAGTGTCACACCTGATGTCCTCGCACAACGATATCAAGATCCATTTTCTGAAGAAACTGCGCCAAAACGTCTACTCCAAACACATACGAAACACCACGCTCGTTGGGTGCCCAACCGACTACAGAAGAGTCAGGATCCGACCAGAGAATGTCACAGAGAAGGCCTAAACCAGCCACATACAGGCCATAGAAATCAGGTCAATGAGTAGTTGGCCTTCATTCAAGCTTTCCGCGCTCACCTGTCTCCTGGACGTCGCATGGTCTTGATATCCTTTTCAACTGATCTAACGACCTAAGCGTTGGTGAAAGACCCCCATGGCAGCAGAAGATTTTGTTGTCAATCAGTGCTGCCACGGGCATGCAATTGAACACATCTTGGAACGTCTTCCACAATTTGATACTATAGCGTCGTTTGCCTGGAAACTCTTCACTATTTACAAAGATCACAATGTGAAAATTAAAGCTCGAAAGGTGTATAATCTACAATCCTACTAATGTGTAGGTGGCCAACGGCAATGCTTGAAACGAAGGACTGACTTGATGCACGAAGCAACACCTGATTACTCACCTCATGTACCGTGAAATAATTTTGAGAAGCATCTGTCTAATCGTATAAAATCGCATGTTCACTGCAAGGTGGTTTGACAGAAAAAAACAACGTTGGGTATACCTGCGGTTGCTTACCGTGAAGCTTACTGGTGACCCTATTGCTGGAGGAAGAAAAAAGTTCCCAGTAAGCTTCGCGAACGCCTTGCGTAAGCAAAGCATGGCATTTGAACCGAGATTATCGGATCCCACGACCAGCTCTGCACTTTCTGGTGAATCTAAACATCGGCCGTTCCAGGAAAACCGCATTCCATCTCCAATAACACCTCTGTTCAAATCCCACACGGGTTCTCCTTCAAGAATCTGTGAACTCGTGAGGAATCTATTGGATGGACTTCTACACTTTCCAAGGAGCAGAAGGAGCCTAAGGAATCCATTTTTCTCAGAGGTTTCAGTTTTCTTTGTCTTCCTGTTCAGCTGTGCCGTGCCGAGTAGCACGGCTAAACAAGAAGACAATGTTTTCCTCCCAGTTCTAAGTCACCTAAGCGAATAAGGTCGAACCAGGGTACAGCAGTGTGATAATTGAAATGAGGTGTCAGTACTACCCTCAGCCATCTACCCAAATTTCGTCAACTCCTAACCAGGTTTCCATAATTTTCGTCCAGTTTTTCCGCTAAAAACCGCCTCCAAGCGTGAGAAGAGCAGGGAGATCGACACCAGTCAACTATTGATACTAGAAAAAAAATGGATTCCTTAGGCTCGCAGAGATGGTAGTTGTAGAGTAGTTCTGCAGCATCAAAAAAGGGAAGTGGGGAGGGAAGGAGGAGAGGATGCAATGATCTGTTGCGAAGAGCGCATCATCATGTCCACTTAATCCCAGTGAGCCCAGCCCACGGTACCAAGAACAAAGGATAAGCCTGCCTCACAACAGTTTAACCCACTAGTACCTTATACTATCAATTTTTACTCAATTGTTCGCGCAGAACGGCACTTCTTATTGCCATAGGTCACGGCTGACTCTGGAAAGCGAACATGTATCACGAGCATTGCAGGTGCCTACCATGTTCCGTTTTGTTCTCTACTGAGATCTATAGCAGGGGGATCTACTGAGAACACACTGCTCACAGGTGAGGGATGGAACGCCAAGGTAATGCACGTCGTGGCTAGCTGCCTTTTCCTTTCTACAAACATACTCAGCTGTAAGCATGTTACTGAAATTTTGTGAGAAAACGGAATACCCATTCAGAGTAGGAGCTCAAAACAAACATAACGGGAAAACACGTAGTTTAGGTAGGTGCACTTCCAGAGCGAATGGAAGAGAAATAAGACAACTCTCAAAGGCAATAAAAACCCACATTCGTCATGAAATCCATAGATCCGATTCAAATTCGCCACTTCATGATTACCGCGTAACAGAAAGAAGTTGTTTGGATACTTGATTTTGTAGCACAGCAGCAGTACGATCGTCTGAAACTTGAGGTTTAGAATTCCATGACTGGAGTCAACCCATAAAGAGCAACATATGACTGAAGTGACAGGCGGTTTTCGATCATTTCTCTCTCCAAAAAACACAATTATTCTGAATTCTGGGTAAATGCATCACAATTTGGTGGTCGCAGTGCACACCACAACATTGTTTGAAATCCTGGCTGCACTCGACCACACCGCTCAAGTTTTTCCTCCGATACAGCCCTGAATTTACCACAATTTCTAAAGTTTACAAAATATGAACGCTCGAGCGGCCATATACACCACATATCCCAGAGTTGGAGTGGGTGTGGATGTGTATACAATTGAAACGTTGGCTGTTGCGTTTGGTTGCGAAGTTGCCGTTTCGGGACAAATGTAGTGGAGTCTTTGGCAACATGATAATTGCTTTAAAGAGAAACTATCCCAAGGAATCTTAACTCCATACTCGAGTTGAGTACGGAGCCATGTCCGCTCCATCTCCGGGATATCGACTGTACGGCCAATCCGTTGTGATTTTTACAACGGATGCTCTGCGTTGAGTATTTGTAGTGTAGTGTAAGGTGGCTCTGATGGTGCAACGGTTAGTCTACCGGCAAAGACGAACTCTTTTTTAATACTGGCTGGGATTGAACCTTCTCCTGACTCAGCATTCTTGGCTTTGTGGTAATAGAAAACGGGCAAAGTGACTGAACTGCCCTCGTGACTGTTGAAAAATCCCATATCTAGGGTTCCGGTGAATTCGCTCTGTTTGGAGCCTGACTGGAATCAAGTCGATCAAGTCGATGCTACAACGATTTGATCAGTCTTGCCCAGGCCCACTCTACGATGACATCAAGAACTGTTACCAACTAACCAGGGAAGGTCAACAGGTCGCCATGGTCATTCATGATGGGATGTCCACACTAGATGTAGGGCTCAAATCTGCTTTCAGAATTTGCTAAATGATTCTCTAGAAGGGTTAGGGGGGATTCTAGCATAGTACTCGCCGATCCTTCTTTGCGTAGCTCAAGTTAAGTTCGAGTAGAGACACGCCCGAGTTGTCGATGGTGTAGTGGTAACTAGTAGTAGTAGGTGACTTGCTTCATAAATGGGAGGTCGGGAGTACGATCCCTCGTCAAGTTTCGCCCTTTGCTTTTTTCCGGGACATCTTCTGTGAGTCCAGAAAACACTTCTATCTGTTATTTTGTCAAGCTTGTTCTCACTTGGTGCAGGAAAAGATCCGAATGCCAGCAATTGTATTTTCTTTCAAAACTTTTGGGCACTATTTATCCCTTTACTGCCCCAGTCATCCGAAATCAGGCCCGTTTTTGACCGATTTTTTTTCTCCGTCAGCAGAATATGCGTTGCCTTTCTAGGGTAGTTTGACCTCCCGAACATGAATATCACATCCGCTCGGCACGAAACGTTGTGATGTATACGTCACAAGCGACTCATCACATGCTTATTTTAACTTCGGCGCGTGTAGCACAGGCGCCAGTCGCTTTCGTGCGAGGCTGTGTGCTAGGGCAGTTAGGCGAACGGTGAAGAAAGCAGCACTCTTCCTGGTTGCCTGTGATAGTGACCTTCCCTTCACTAACACTCAGCTTTAGCAGAGGAAGGGCCCCATCTCACGGGAGGGATGCAGGCGACCAGAAACAGTTTACATAGTCACGTGTACCCCTATTCTTTTCCGTGCATCCTAAACAACCTCAAAGCCCCACACAGATGTGGTGTTCGTGTGTAGGAGGTCAAACCACCCCAGTTGACACGTTAGTGATTTTAGCGATTACGAGGTTTTGGCAACAGCGCCAGGAGGTGGATCGATATTCATGTTCAAAAGGTCAAACTACTCCAGAAGACAACTTTTTAGCCAATTGTGCTCACGGAGAAAAAAGTTTGTCAAAAATTGGCCTGATTTCGGATGATTGGGGCAGTAAAGGGTAAATAGTGCCAAACAGAAATACTTTCTCGACTCACAGAAGATGTTCCGAAAAAAATGCAAAAATGCGGAACTTGTCAAGGGAACGAACCCATGACCTCGCACCTATGAAGCAACTTACCTATCCACTACACTGTCGATCGCTGTTTAGTACCATGAGTTCTCGAACTTAACTTGAGCTACGCTAAGGAGGATCGGCGAGTGCTATGCACCCCCCTAACTCCTTCTAAAGAATCTTCAGCGAATTCCGAAAGCAGATTTGAGTTCAGCTTTCCAAGCCGTAGACGCACATATGTATCCCATGGCGACCTGTTGACCTTCCCTGGTAAGCTATGGTTCCGGTTGATACACACAGAATTCGTTTGACTACGTTTAAAAATGAATCACCTCGATACTCTTTGGTCCCCTGTCGACATAATCACCAAGAAAGAGGTAGTTAGACTCGGGAGGAAAACCGGCTAGAGTGAACAGACGTAGCAGATCGTTGTACTGCCCATGAATGTCACCTGATAGGAAAAAAACTTCATTTTGAGAAGTCAATTTCTGATCCTCTGGAATCTTCTTGCTACTCTCTAGTCATAAGGAGCCTTGAATTTTATGATTATGATTTATTATCGGTTAGTTAAGACAAATAGATCAGCACATAAATATGTAGCTTAAAGAGCGATAAGAGGCGGAGGTGGTGTAGTGACAAGTGGCGCGCTTACCACTCGCGCGGCGCCGGGTTCAAATCCCGGGTCGACTCCCGCCCAGGCCAACCAAGCCTTCTACCCCCGGGGACGGTAAATTGGTACCAGATTCGTCTGGGAGGATAAAACACTGACTTGTACATCGGCTGGCCACCGCAAGTCATTGTATAGGCCACATCGCATTCAATAAGCCACTACGATTCTGAATGGAAGTAGAATGCGTGCCGCATCCCACAAAGGGATTGATCAACGGCGAAGACTTTATCCTTTTAAATAAAACACGCAGAAAGGAACAATGGAGTGTGCGGCAATAGATGTAGGGAATGCTCGTGGTGGTCTTGGCGGTGAAGAGCAGTGGCACGCCAGTTCTACAGTGGTAAGCGAACTAAGCAGCTCCGGACACCAGTTTAGTGGGTCCGTCAACCACACCAAGCTAAACGTTTTGTAGGACGGGTTTCTGCAAGGAAATTCTAACGAGGTCAATACCATAGAAGCATTAAGCTACCGCTCGGGATACAGTGGAAATAGTGAATTATAACAGGAGCTAGACTTATTTCAGAGCGTGTTGGAAACAAAAGAATACGCGAGAAGAAGTAAAAAAAAATAAAATTGAAATAAGTCAACCTGCAATCTTCAACGGAGGCTCCAACTCGAGCAACATTGGCTGATGCAGAAAAATCTGTCTAGCTAGCATGCATATCATTCTAATTTCGTTCTCTGATACGTCCACACCTTTTTGCCACGGCTTTACCTAAATTTCTGGATACAGATTGTAAAACCAATGGAGGATAGCTCTCAAAGACAGGTAAACTGTAAGTGGTGGAGGAGTAGCTGCTTTTCACTGTTAGACAGAGAAATACCGTATCATTAGGTCGGTTCAGTTAAAGTTAGGAGCGATGAGTTTCGTGTATAGTTCTTCTAAATAATATGTATAAATTGTTTGCAAACTCCTTGTCACTGTCTAGCCCACTTGCTATGAAGGGTTCTAGATCCTAGTGCAATCAGGACAGCCTTTCTCTCAAATTGTTGCAGGCTCGTAGTAGCATAAGCTGATGGCAAAAGCCGCCTTGCTTCCTTGCTTGCGCTCCAACCCTTACACGCTCACTCGCTTCCAAGCAAGGATAACGACTGAGTTTTCTTTCGCAACACAGCAGACAAGGGTTCGACACATTTTATGTATGAAAAGTCAGTTTAATGTACACTCGAGATCCCTGAGATCGGGTAGGCGTGGCCGCATGTTTCAACTTACCTTAAGGCGTCTACGCTTCTGATGCGATATTTTCATCTCGACACAATCGTTGTCGTGTCTCTGTCCAACACAGAACAAGATGACAGTTGTCCCAGACTGGAATATTCCACTAGTAACCAGTTCCTTACAGTGTTCGAATGCTCCGCCTACCCGATCTCAGGGATTTCGAGTATAGTACCTGTACTAGGGTGCCGATTACTTTGTTCAGATCCAAATCACCATAGTGCACCGACTTCCGCCGCATCACCATTGTTGAGCACAAAACTGCTGAACACCATGCATAATTAGAAATGCACCAAACGAATGTCTCATGTATATCGAATTGATTTTTCGTAAACGAACAATTCAATCGATGTAGAATTATTAAAGGCGGCATCAATCGAGGAACAACTACAAATTCGAGATGATATTAACAGGCAAGGAAAACAAAGCCAAAAGAAAAGAAATCCAAGCAACAGAGGACCTAATTCGTAGGTTGTTCCGTAAATTAACACACATTCACACTACCGCCTTCGATTTTCCTTGCGATTCTGGGAAGAATAATATATTTGTGGAATGTGAATTTTTTTTTCTTAAAGGCTAGGGGCGAGCTGTTACTGCCAACGTCACTTGAATGGGCTGAATGTGGTGTGGCCAAACGCTCTCTCACTGCCCTTCCACCAAAGATGCTGGCAATAAACGCCCGCCCTCAGAGTGCCCACTGCCTTTAAGTCCCAGTTCTGATCCTTTCATTATTGGCTTTAATGAAGTTAGTTAGTTAGTTAGTTAGTTAGTTAGAAGTGAACTTTTGGACTGACTGAAAGTGTGATTAACAAATCTTATAATACTTCAAAGCAAGTTTAAGGAGGAGAACTTCAACTCCATTCCTCCACGGGCCGCTTCTATGAAAACTTTACATCATTAATTCAAGGGGGATTATACGCATTGTCCACAGATATGAGAAGATGTGGGGTTGAGATACTATCTTTGTGGCGTTTCAAATTATTTTTGTGTTACACAATTTCTGTATGGCATAGGTAACGATACAAGTGTAATGAAAGACAAATCTCGCGACTGCATACCCCGGCTATTGTTGTTCAACAACGAAAATAGCAGCAGCGTCCCTCTAGGAAATAAAAAAATCGGCACTATTGAACTATTCCTACCCCGAAAGTCAAAATTTTTTATCTCGGTAAAACGTCGCCTAGATGTAATTCGATGCCCCTATCACGAATATCACACTTCGTTTTGAGCGCTGACGCCATTTGGCGCCATTGCGCCAATCAACCACTTTTTTCACCAAAGTCGGTGAAAACTTGTATATGGGGGTTAATCGACATCCTGATCACGAATATCACATTCGTTTTGAGCGCTGGCGCCATTTGGCGCCATTATGCGCCAATTTGGCGCCACCACTTTTTCACCAAAGTCGATGAAAACTTGCATATGGGGGTTAATTGAGGTCCTGATTACGAATCCAACATTTATTTTTGGCGCTGGCGCCATTTGGCGCCATAATGGCGCCAAATGGCGCCAGCGCTTGAAACCAGTGTGATATTCGTAATCAGGACCTCAATTAACCCCCATGCAAGTTTTCATCAACTTTGGTGAAAAAAGTGGTGGGCGCCAAATTGGCGCATAATGGCGCCAAATGACGCCAGCGCTCGAAACGAATGTGATATTCGTGATCAGGGCATCGAATTACATCTATAGGCAACGTTTCAGCGAAAAATTTTTTTGAGTTTTTGGGGTAGGAATAGTTCAATAGTGCCAAAAAATCAAAAAAAAAATCATGAAGGACACCATAAGGACCCCCACCCCTGGCCGTCTCACTGTACAGGTTGTCTGACCTGCTCCTCTGAAGCCGATATCTGCTGTCTCTGGCTCAATAAAGCTTTTTCGCGTCATCCACTACTAATGCAGTGGAAAAAAACCGAAAAAAAAACGCGCTGTAAAAACTGAACACAGAAAGTAGCTTTCGTTCACTGGAGGGTGGCCAGCCAGAGAAGCGTCAGAACTGCTACTTGTGAGGGCCGCAGCGCTTTCTTCAATTTTTGTGAAGCTGCTAGAGTGGTACCTTCTCAACGATAGACGGCCACACTACTTGTACAATTAGGACGCCTACGATTTGCTTGAGCGTGGGGATTATCTCTGAGATAAATATTCTAGAATATTGTGCGCACCCGTGAACAGGCTTGCTTTCCTTCTTCGTGTCTATATTTATCTTTCTCAGCGTGAGTTATCTACATTGATATTGATTGAGTAAGATGGCCTCAAAATCAATCAAAAGATCAGAAAATGCAATGGAGACCGAGATCGTCGTTGCTGTTTCCAAAAGCTTCTTGTGGACGCTACCGCGTGCGCCTCTGCGGCACACAAATGAATGCATCTCATACTCCAAAAAATGGGGTAAATCTGCCAGTGGTCATTGTGAGTCATATGATTGCGCTCGCTCACTTCACCCAACTCCCATATCAGTCTCAGGCGACTTAGTCAGCATCAGAGCTTACAGAAAAACTATTTTGGACACCACACGAACTAACGCACATGTGAACGTTTGTGCTAATTTGAATGGAGCTCCTTGATGAATACCCAGGGGCATTCAAAGACGGTAAGCACACTAACTCCTAACACTTTTTTGCAAGTGTTCTGATTGATATGATTACAAAGCGAATCGTAGCCGTTTTGCACGTTTCTGACTACGTATACTGGACCCTCTACTCACAAGCTGCTTTCCTTGAAAACATCCTAGGCGTGATAGACGCTCTCCATCTTTCTTTTCATTTGACGAATTGACGTTTGCACTTCATGACAAAGAGCACAACATGCGCAGTCCACAAAATTGAATGCTTATGCACGCCCAAACCTCGCTCAAGATTCTAGGACCAGCTCCAGAGCAATGCTCTTATTCTGCGCAGATATGAGGACGTACCCTTCGTGGGGAGCTACCACCTCATACAGAGAGAGGAGAAGGAGGTCAAGCTTAAAACACAACGTCACGCAATTCCGCAACGAATGTGATTTCCCTGATCTCGCACGCATCTTTCTTCACTGATCCTCAGCGTTGTACACAGAAGACTACGGATTACCTAACCTACATCGACTACTGCTGAAAGATACCACACGTCTTCATGGAAGATAGCTTTGAGATTTTCAGCCCAACTCTACCAAAGTACGAAGGAAAAATCATTAGAAATGGAAAATTTCTCATAAAGTGAAACGAGAAGAAATATTGAAGAGGTGAGCTGAAGGCAAAAAGGTAGCTCAGGTTGCGTTTCGCGCGTGCCTTTAGGCGGAAGTCGAGCGAGAGAATGATCCCTCCTGCCACAATCCCACTACGTATATACCATTTTCACTTTAAATTCACCCTTTTTCAAACCAAATTCACCCTTTTTCAAACCAAATTCACCCTCACTTTTCACATCAAATTAACCACTTATAAGGGCGGGCATCATCAAGCAGATCATGCCAGACATCACTGCGAGCCCCGCCCCGACGGCCACGCCCACTTGTCAGCGCGGACATAGATTCTCAAATCTTGTTTCATAACTTCTGCTTTTGCTGTTTCCCACAAACACTTTGACTGGAAACGACCGGGCATTGACACATGGCCGACTCCGCCCATTCTCTAAAGGGTTTGGCAATCTAGGCTGACCACGCCCACTTGCTTTTCGCGGACTTTCGATATTTTTTCAAAATTTTTGCATTTTAGGGCTGCTGCGTGAAGCCCCGCCCACTTTTCAAAAATGGTGCAAATCGGCAGTATAGAGCCTTGGCTTGCATGCTAGGGTATTGCTGATCATTCGGAATAAACTTTGCCGGATTTTCTTGTTCCGAGTGACGAACGAGACCCTAGCATGCAAGCCAAGGCTCTATACTGCCGCGAAAAGCAAGTGGGCGTGGTCAGCCTAGATTGCCAAACCCTTTAGAGAATGGGCGGAGTCGGCCATGTGTCAATGCCCGGTCGTTTCCAGTCAAAGTGTTTGTGGGAAACAGCAAAAGCAGAAGTTATGAAACAAGATTTGAGAATCTATGTCCACAAGTGGGCGTGGCCGTCGGGGCGGGGCTCGCAGTGATGTCTGGCATGATCTGCTTGATGATGCCCGCCCTTATAAGTGGTTAATTTGATGTGAAAAGTGAGGGTGAATTTGGTTTGAAAAGGGGTGAATTTGGTTTGAAAAAGGGTGAATTTGGTTTGAAAAGGGTGAATTTGGTTTGAAAAAGGGTGAATTTGGTTTGAAAAAGGGTGAATTTGGTTTGAAAAGGGTGAATTTAAGTGAAAATGGTATATATCTCATGAGACCGCATGACAGTGCATGCTCTCCTAGTGAGGGGACGCCCTGACATTGGAAAAATTTGCAGAGTGCGACATCCCCGATTTCCCTCCACCCTGTGTACCTACCATCTTCTTGAATTTTCCCATCATTTCCCATTCTTGTAGAGTTTTTATTCCAAAAACCAAGACTGCTATATATAACGCTTTTGAGGTAGGAAAACCGAGAAAAGTCAATAAGCAAAACATTTTTTTCAGAAGCAAGCAGATCCACTTCTACCAGCGACTGGAAACCCCTAAAGTCCAACGTGCTCTGATCCCTGACTCCACTAAAAAGTCATCATCTGCCTTGAATGAGATAAAAAACTTATCCGTAAAGACAAACGGCGATAATGAGAAATGATAAAATGCAACCATATCAAAGGCGTCTATGGCTGAGTGCGTTGGTGGAGAATCCCGCTTTTAATTCGAACCACACAAAAAGGAACAGGTGACCAGTAATACCTCACGCTCAGCTTCATGCTCACCGAGAAGTTTGTGGGCACTGACGAGGACAAATGGACGATCTCGCATGACTCAGAAAAAGTAACGCGTGCGGCAGTGTACTGCGTGATCGCTCAACAAAAAAAATTAAATGTTCGTTTAGAAATAAATTTTGATCAAGGACACAAGGACTTCTCAGTAATAAGCGTGAAGGGCGCTGGATCTCTTGATTGGTCACTGTTTGAAAACACAGCAAACCTACCCTCTGAAAAGCAGAGGAAACGGAATTCTCGATTGACATGCGGCTAGCCATTGTCCTATCTCATTTTTGACGTCCCCTTCAAGAGTCTGATGATGGGAACTGTACACAACGAACGTGCGGGTGATCAATGGCTGTTGCGGTCATACCACTTGTGGTGAGAATGTACATACAACCAACTGAAACACTGGGGGTTGCAGCTGCTAATAACGACCTAGCCGGAATCCAGAAATCGCCCAAGTTGACCTTCGAGAAA